ATTTTATACGAAATTCAAACAATAAACACCGTTTTGGCGCTTGTAAATGTGACGTGATCACGTGAAAGATCACTAACAGATCTCAAGCGGAACGTGAACCGATCATCTGTTACTCTTTACTGCTAACTTACCGAAATAAAACCGATCGATCAGTGTTTTCAACCGCGGAAAGATGTCCATAAAACAGCTGGAGAAGTAGGAGAACAACATGTGTCACGTAACGTTACATTTACCTCAGACATGCCTCAGACTCAGGAATGCCTTTTAATGACCCATAGCACGCATTTTAGTTGGACTTAAAATAATTGCTATAGAGAGGAGCATTTTGCTAAATATGATAACTATATTACACAATTTTTATATTTGACCTATATCATTAAAATATTATAATAATACCAGCTGACAGGGCTCTCTGTATGTATACAGCATTAGGTAATTTATTTTTGGAGAACAATTAACATAACACATTAACGTATCTACTGTAGGCCTACCTAATATTTATCCAAAGGAATTGATATTGAATCAATATCAGAATCAAATCTTTGAAATTGTGAAATTTGTGTTAAGCAATAATAAAAACAGTAGCATACAGTCTTTGTACCATGTAAACATTGTGTTTATGGTTAATAAACCTAATAAAATTATGTTTAGTTAACAAATAATTTGACAATCACAATAAACGTATTGTGATGCAAGTTGTTTTTATTTTTATTTTATTTTTTTTACAATCCACCCATTTCATGTTGTGTTACATTTACTTTTTACAATGACAGGGCCTGCACTCTAGTGATGGACCGATATATCGGCCGGCCGATATTTTGGGCCGATATTTGAGGTTTTTATGTGTATCGGAATCGGCCGATACACCGCTGCGCGTTCGCCGATATATTTTTTTTTCCGGCGTTATTTATAGACAGGCGGCCACGGGCAGCTCTGTGCTGCTGGAGATGCTGCAGTTCACATGCCCCGCCCTCCCCCACTAGCAGAGTGCAACCTGCTCTTCACGAGAATGGTAACTTAAACTTTCAAAGGATCTTTTAAATGTTTGACTGCTGAAATATTGTCAAACACTTTGAAAATGGAAACACGTCGCCCTATAACTGTTATGTGCTTGCAACTAAGCAAGTTTGTGGGTCCAAATGGAAAACGCGAATGCCTCGTCTATAAAACTTAACTGCTTGCCATTGGATTAGGGAGCTGCAAATAGCTAAGGTGTAGGCTATCCGTTCAGTATACATTAGGACTGTCTATGAATATTCTACATTCGAATATCTATTAATTTTGAAGGTGAAAATTAATATTTGAATGTGGAAAAACACGCCCACGGTTGCAGACTAATAACGTTACCACAGCTGCACAGCTCGCTCGGAACGCTCACTGTCGGTTCTATCCTGTGAATCTTCAATCACTGAATGAAGCCTGCTATATTTGGGACAAGAGTCGCGACTTTCAACCTTAAATTGCTTGCACAAAACTCTTGATCAGCACTCAATATTTGTTTGGTGTTGTTCATTTAAAGGTTCTCAAAGCGATCCTGGGTGTTGACGTTAGAATATTTTCAAACAAATCGGAGCTAGACCCTCCCTCCTCCGCATCTCATCTCCTCCCCCTCCCTTCCGTGCTTCCTGAAATAATTGTGAACGTGCATAGTTCTAGCTAATTATATCCTTGTGTGGGTTAGAAGAAAAAAAACAATTTAACGTTACCCACCTGTCCAGCAAAAACAGAGCAACCTGAATGTCGGACTGGAAGCCCTTCTGCCGCCGGAGTTCTCGCCATCGTTCAAAAGCTTTGCTACCGATGTAAATTCGGAACTTCGCACATTCTTTATCCGACTCCTTCTTCTTTTTAATTTGTTCCTCAGAACGACGTCTCTTTGGTCGTGTGTCGGTAATTTTTCAAACTTCCCTCTGATGCTTTGCTGCTCTCCTTCACACACACACACACCCTTCATGTGCACGCGCACTAACCCCCCAGACCCACCCTCAAATACTTCTGGCCAGTGATTGGCTGGAACACTGTTTGTTAGGTTTCGTGGTCCGGGTGAGACATGATTGTTTTTGTTGCCGTTTGTGGAGCCTGTGGTGTCTACAGAGACCGCGTTTTTTTACAGTGTGTTTAGGGGACAGGCAGCTAGCCGATAGTGAGGAGACGTTTGATGTATGTGACAAAAAATGTTTTGGCCCAGCATCGCTTAGAGAACCTTTAACCGACGCGCAGAGACCGTGAGGGCGAGAGAGAGAGAGAGAGAGTGCCTGAGCGAGTCCGGGCGAGAGAGTAAGCTCTGCGGTCTTGGCCATTAGTTGATTTACTTGCTTTTTAATACGTTGTCAAATATGTTTAAACTCAAATAAACTATCTAATACAAGTAGTTATGTCTCTTTGTATTAATGTGTCCTGTTATTGACGTAATGCGCGTCAAACAAAACGCGCAACGGGATGTTCGAATATGTTTTTGAGCAATTTTGACAGCCCTAGTATGCATACGGTAGCTGTTACGAACACAATTTATTCAGCGCCCACTTGGCTGTGGTTTGGACGCGTGTGGTGTGTGTCTCCCTCGCCATCGCAGTGATATTAAAGACTAGACATGCTCATTTTATTTTATGTAGAAAAATTGAAACCATGCAGTACATAGTTCGTTTCTTTTAAAATGAAGTACATAGTTCGTCTTTTAAAATTAAGTACAGTGTGCACTGTGCACTTTATTATGCTTGCTACTGTGTGCAATAGTGTAATTATTTAATTTATGCTTAAATATTTATTTTCAGCACTGAACTTTTTTTGTTCTACTTTATGTTTTTAATATTTGTTAAATTGTTTGTCTACTTGTTCTTGTTCTACCTCACATGTTTTTACTATTTGTTAAATATTAATTTTTGAAGTTAATTAAATGTTACTTTTAAATTGAGACCTGTAACATTTGTTAACATCATGCCATTTTTATGATGTAAATTTAGGGAGCAAAATGTATCGGCTCCAAATATCGGCCCAAGAAAATCGGCAGCCCGTATCGGTCATCGGCTAAGGCTGATGGGAAAAAAATCGGTATCGGCACTAAAAAATCCATATCGGTCGATCCCTACTGCACTCTTGTCTTTTTGGCTTGTTGTTTCTGATTGCACTTTAATCCAGATAATATCACAGAAGGGAATATCGAAACAAAAAGTTAAAACTTGTTTTGAACAATTTCTTTGTCATCTGCAGATTGCTTTTAAGTAGGGACAGAAAAAAAATCGATTTAAATCGTAAATCTGATTTTTTGTGAAAAAAATCGGGGATTTTTTTTTTTTAGGCCATATCACCCAGGTTATACCTATAACTTTTGCCACTAAAGATTGCTTTATAAATTATCTTCCTGATCAGTTTCATCATATCAGCATCCCAGATAGCTTAGAAGAACTCGATATTGCGACAGAAAAGTTTAACTCTCTTTTTTTCCAGCACTTTAGACACAGTTGCTCCTTTGCACTTAAAGAAGATTAAAGAAAATAGTGGTACAACAAGCACACTCAGTCAAAAATATTCTCTCAAAAACAAACATGTACATAAACAATATTCTCTCAAAAACAAACATGTACATACATGTTGCTCACATATTATGGTAGCCCTGTTTGTGCTAAATAGAGTGTAATTTCACCTTTGCCATTAATATGTTTATAAGCAACTGAAAAAAGCACAAATGTCACAGCATATCAAAAAATCTGAAGGACCCCAAAAACACCTTGGATCCCAGAGGGTTAACGGAATGCATAGCTGATATTAAAAAAAAAAACAAAAAAAAAACTGGATGACTAGCAATTTACTACCTACTACTTAATTCAGAAAAACACAGAGACTCTAATTGTTGGACAAAAAACTTCCTCACACAATAACCTTGAATACTGTCTAACACTTGATGGCTGCTCTGTCAAGTCCCCGTCGTCGGTTAGGAACCTGGGTGCGCTCTTTTATACCATCTTTCATTTGAAAGTCACGCATCTAGTATCTGTAAAACCAAATTTTTTCATCTTAAAATTATGTCTAAATTATGTTTTATGCTCTCAATTAAAGATGCGTTTATGAGACCAAGGCTAGATTATTATAATCCTCTACTTGGTGGTTGCCCTGCACATTTAATAAATAAGCTACCTTTAAAAAAACCCTATTAAACATCAAATACATTTTAAAATATTGCTGATTACTTACAAAACACTAAATACACAAAACACATTATAGACTTCTAGAATTCAAAGATAGGCTGCATAGTTTAGATCAGCCAAAACTTGGAACACTTCCCATAAATCCTGATGTACTTGTTACATCATGAGCAGAATGGCGTCTACGCTAATATTAGTCTCTCTGTTTATCCCGAGTTTTACCACAGTCTACCGTATCCAGATCTGATGAAGGACCATCGCCTGGACACGACGACAACGCAGTCCTAAAGTGTCAACTAGTTTCCCGGCCCTTTACCTCTGACCAGATAAAAGTTTGTCGGAATAATTCTGGTTCGCGTGGCTATGCAGACCCGACAAACATTTCTGCATTATACATTTTTAAGACCAGGGTTGATTTGTGAAGGACTACACACCTGAGTGCATGTATATATTCAAATGCGCATACCTATGGACTTGCCCCTTCAAACCTATTTCAGGGAGCACGTTCTCGAGACACCAAGCACTGTTTTGTGCGGATGGGCGGCCGGAGCGCGTTAAGAGTTTTTCTGTTAGAACGGTAACGTATTAGCAGCCCCTATGTTAATAACTAATGATTTTCGCAATGGACAATGACTTGTAAAGCCTAAATAATCTGTCATGGTAATTTCTATTGCAACTGTAAAGCTGCTTTGAAAAAATCAGTACAGTTAAAAGCACTTAAATGAACGTGACTTGGCGTGGTTGTGGTTTGCTTGGGTACTATTATAAATTGAACAACATTAATGACACCTATAAATTTAATTTAGACACAGTAACTAGGGTTAATATTTCAGGATTTAAAAGTCAAACAGTCGGACTCACCCTGGAAAGACTGTCTGGCTCTCTCTACCAGCTCCTCTATGGGGTAACTGGCCAGATCCCCTCTAGCGTGTTTGGTTTTGCAGTACGTGCAAGCGTTCAGACAGCTGTGGGAGAGAGAGGAGATCATAAACATCAAGAGGCATTAAATACACACAAGTATGATGGATAAAAAGTAAAATACAAACAGAAATGTAAGTTGTTGGGGTGAGGTCTGGGTGAATCTTATGTCCATGTCATATTTCATACTTTGTTTTGCAAGAAGACAATAAACTCACTTTAAGGAGTCTAAAGATTTTTTTCCCATATTTTTGGTGTGAAATATTATCTGGACACATCACAGCTTCTTCATTCACACTGAGTCATGGGCCCCATTTACACTGCATGGTTTTCTTTCATGTTTTGTTCTAGAAGGGCAAGGGTCCATCACAAAAGTGACCCAAATCCAATTTTTTTTCCTCTCATGTGGCACAGATCGGATATGACCGGTGAACGTGTAAGCAAGAAAAAAACAAAAAAAAAAAAAAAAAACACATGAATTCTGATTTTCTCAGACCGGATTCAGGCCTCACTCATATGTGGTAATAAATTGGATCTGTATTCCGGATTCGTATCTGTATTCTAAGTGTATTTATTGTAGTCATTCCATGCCCGAGGGGCATAAATGGAAAAAGCATATTTACCAAATTATGAGGATACCTTTGAGACTTTTAGTCAAAGGTGTAACTGAGATCTAGTACTGTTTGTTTAAAAAGCCAATTTACCTAAAAGTGCAAATATATACTTTATGTGTAAAGAGGGCCCTGCTAAAGATTCATAAAGTATACATTGATGTGTACATGATTCTGCACCACACACAAAATGTAAAGGTGCATGATAGTCCAGTTACCTAAATAAAGACAAAAATGCATGCATATAAAAGGTCACCATAATTGTAGATTAAAAGTAGATCTTTTTTAGCAATAAAGGAGACTCGATTTTGCCTTAATCTTCAGCAAATTATCAATGTGAACATTAAAAGCTAGTTTTTTATCCAACCATATGCTTAAATATTTATAAGAGCTAACTTTTTCAATATGTCAATATTTTTCAAAATTCCATCTAAAGTTGAAATAGCCACATCTGTTTCCTTAGAATGCGTATGATTAAAAATCTTATATTTTGTATTTTTTTTAGTTTAAAACCAATTTCAATTGGTAGCAATAAATGTTGCTACATTAAACACAATTTGTAAGTTAAGTATAACTTGATTTAAAGAAGATGCTGCTGTATGTTTAATTGTATCATCGGCATACGGCATACTCCTAAACCCAAATAATTGATAAGTCCACACTAGTCTAAACCAACATTAGAATAATTATTAGAAGTGTCAGCAATTTTCGCTCTACCCTTAACGACAGATTAACAATTAAGTGATCAGGATCTTTAATTGATTTGCATTGGATTTAGTTTTTAATTTACCATTGAAATATAATAATCAAACTGTGGTAAACTTATGAATTGCATTAGTTGAGATGAAGTCCAGTAAAGTCTATTTATCCTTTTGATTAACTTGAGTTGTTGAGTTAATTTTGTTGTACCGAACAAAGAGTCATTAAATGAAATATCTTTAAATTGGTCCAACAGTGGTGAAAGCCAATCCCAATTCAGGTCGCTGATAATAATATTTGTGGTCGTATAATAATTCATGTTAATTCCACAAGTGTTTACTAAAACTAAAAAACTCTTTACATTTGATAATCATGAAAACAAATCTCAGGCAACATTTGACTATGTACCAATGTGTAATTAGACCAAAGGTTCATTTTTCACCGGAGTTGTCCTTTAATGGGTTATATGTATCAATATTAATCATATCACTTGTAATTGATGCCTTTAGCCATGTATCAGTAAAAAAAAAAAAAAAAAACATCGGTAACACTTTACAATAAGGTTCAGTAGTTAATATTAGTTAACTACATTAGTTAATATGAACTAATAATGAATAGCACATATAAAGCATTTGTTAATCTTTGTTAATGTTATTTTCAACATTTACTAATACTTGATTAAAATCTTGCTAACATTAATTAATGCACCGTGAACTAACATGAACAAATGATGAACAAATGCAGTAACAAATGTATTGCTCATGGTTAGTGTATGTTAGTAAATACATTAACTAATGTTAACTAATGAACCTTATTGTAAAGTGTTACCAAAACATCTCAAAACAGACTCTTAAAGATTCTCTTAAAAAAATGTAACCAAACTACACACATTCAGATGTAGGAACCGTAATCCTTTTGCTGATTTACAGTCGTCAGACGAAATTGGGATAGCTCTCGACCTAGATTGGGATAGACATTTCTCCTGATAGTAAAAGCAAAAGGAAAACAAACAATGTTTTCTTGCTGCACTCATGGAAGAAACTTTTCGTACAATAAGCGAAGTGTAGGGTAAAAGACTCCCGTTTCCCCACGACAACAAGCAACGTATAACATGCAAAGTTGCTCCAGAGGAGGCTTGCAGCTCAGAGGGAATATCTCTCCAGAGAAGCAAGATCTCATGAACATGGTCCTTGAGCAGACCTGAACCAGTACTGGCATGCCAAACAGGCCACTGAGTCCACAACCAGAGCGTCATTGCCCCCCAAACTCTTGTCGATTCCTCCGGAACAGTCCTCCATAACAAAAGGCACAAAAGTTCAGGCGCTTTGGACTTGTGTGTCTTTTGTTATGGAGGACTGTTCTGCACAGTCGCTCTCACCATTACCTTGCCAAAAGACACATCAGTCGCGAAAGCCCACGACAATACAAGTAGAATAGTATGGTAGGTATTTAAATTTTTAAAACTATAAAATATACTGAACAGTGCTATGAAGATATGATGGTAAAATAGTGAAAACGTTAATATTAAAAGTAAAAACAGATGAAAAGACAGCGACAAATACTTGTCTACAAACAAGACACCATCTTGAAAAGCACTTTTCCTTTCTCAGTCATTGTTAAACGGCAGTGTGCGCTAGGCCATAAAGTAGTGCAATGCAAAAAAAGCACAGAAAAAATACAATTAAAAGTCATTTAGAGTAAAAGCCTTAATTTAGCTCTAAGTTTGTCCTGCACAAGTTCAGTGCAGAGGTAAAGAGTCTTATCTTTGCATTTCAGACCACTGATCAATAAGTGTCTGGCAGGAGGACGGTGGTATGGATGAAAAATCTTTTTGCTGTTTGTTTGTGCGAGAACTTTGCTGAATGAGCTCCACCGAGAGCCTGACTAGACGTGAGCTTTGAGCCTTGAGTGCTGCCACATCTTTCATCACCACTGTTGATGAAGCCCTCTCCGGCTCGCTTCAAACAGCAACAGAGAAACCGGCTCCGCCACAGGCCAAATCTCTGACAGGATGTCAGGCCGTCATCCAAGAGCTCAGAGGAGAGAGCTCAAATCGCTGCACTGCCATGAGAAGTATCATTAGACTCAGAGAGAACAGCATTACATCCCCTCTAGCTAACATCTTCTGGAAAAGTGCTGAGCTGAGTGTCTGTGGAATATCAGCAGAGTGCTTTAAGCTGCAGTTTGTGTCTATGTGTAGTAGGGGTGTCCATGGTTAACCGGTTAACCGATTAACCGTTTAAAATTCCATAACCGAGTGAAACCTTTTTGCTCGGTTAAGTGGCGTCAATACATATTTGCACAAAACTTTTGCGGGTTTTTTTTCTGATTGTCGATAAAAAAAATATTGCGAAATGACTAGCGTTCCTATTAACGGTGTTACGCGACTAAAACATTTTTTTTTCCTTTCACGATAAGCCATTCCAAAAATGATGGCAACGGACGTTGGTATATCACAGCCACCGCACTAGACATTATTATTATTTATGGAAGGAGACGTGGTGTGTCATCCAAGCATTAATGGCAGGGAAAGTCACAGAGTTTGTGTGTTTCTCCCTCATTTCTGCTCCGCGGTCTTGATTGTGGCATTTCTTTGAGGTTTTGTCTAGTAGGCTATATTCCTTGTATCTTTTATGAATTTTAAAAAAGAACTCTGCCTCGTATTATGTCCAAACGGTCTACTTTTGTGTTCATTCGTTTCCCCTTATTTAATCCGTTGGCTTAATTGCAAAATGAAAAATGAACGGTTGTTGTATTTTGTAAATAGCAAAGTTGAACACCAAAATGTTAATTTGATGGTGCGCAAAAATATATAGGCTATATATCGACGAATTTGCCCCTTAAACATTTAAAATATTTGACAAATTAATATGAAAAAAGATTTTACTGGTTTTCTGAGCCCAAATTAGAACCTGGAAATGATATTTTCCCCCGCAATGCTGAATGAGAAGAGCCGTAACCACAGCCTGAAAAAAATGTATTTATAAGTGAATTATATAGGCTATAATAAATGTGTCTGATAATAAAATAATATAAAATAACGAGGCATTAATTATTTAATAATAAACTGTTGTTTTCTAAATCATTTTCGGCTAAAAACAATTCTCCATCTCCGGATGCACATTTAGAGAGAAATTAATTAGCTACATAATTACATAGTCAGAAGATATTGGCCTTCAATTAGAATTTGTTCGTTTTAAATTGGACATTTAAAGCTTTAGCCTACAAAGGATATAACCCCTGTAGACTAAAGCTTTACATGTCCAATTTAAAACGAACAAATTCGAATGCGGTGGCTGTTTCAGTTCTCGCGCTTCAGTTCGCGGAGATTATGAAGCGCGCCTGAATGTTAAAGAACAACGTTTTATTGTTATTGTGAGTTTACGCAAATCAATGTATTTGCGAATAATGCATTATTATTTTCTGTATGACCAGAAATGAAAGAGTATTTTAAGTTGTTTGTTTCCACTGAAAGAACTGCAAGTGTTCACATGGGCGTCTCGCAGCCATCAATGCGCTTCACACACACTGGATATGCGTCAAAAATATTGTGTTTATTTGTGCTTTGTTCCTTTTTTGGATAAAGGCGTCTTCTACATAATATGCAGAGTTAATGTGCTTATTTTCAATTGGCAATTTCATTTTGAAGGGTGATGGAAACGCACCTACTTTAACTGCTCTGTACTTACCACTGCGTTTTATTTCTATAAATTAATTTCGTTTCAAATGGGGACCAA